CGGTTGCCAAATAGATAGCAATAGGAATTCGTATGATACAGCGATGTGAAAATAACCACAGCCATTTATCATTTTTGGAAAACGAAAATATTTTTGTTCAAATTTCAAATCAAATCGCAAATCATTTCAAGCCAGTATAGTAAAAAAAAAGAAAAAAACAACTCATTACCCTCTGAATTTGATCTCTTCCTTCCCCAATAAATTAGTTTACTAAAGTTGAGCAGCAAAATTTTTAAAAGATTCGTGATTCGTTATTACCGTAAATGCCCGAGTCTTCATTATTTCTGCGTAACAAAACATTTCAAATTTTGGATAAAAAAATTTTTTATTATGTAAATTTCAAAACTTTCCATTCATATTCTGCACACTGATGACAGTATTACGAATGAATTTTAGAAGTTTAGAATATATGTGCATATGTATGGAATTTGAACATGAAAAAAAAAAAGAATTAGAAAACTTGAATATTTACTTATTAATAATATATATAGAAAATTTCTTAAAGATTTAATTTTAAACATAATGGCCTCAAATGGAAGCGACGGCACATTAAAAGCAGTAGCATGAGAATGAAATAGTACAATAAAATCTGGCATTAAATTTGTCAATCATTATTGACCAAATCACAGAAAATTTTCTATATGCATAAATGTCAGCAGACCCTTACACGAATTTTTGTGTTTTTTAAATTTTGTTTATTGTTATCTTTAAAAATAATGGCGACCTTTTTCTTTTTTTAATTCTTATACAGTATATAAAATTGATCTACAGAAATAATCAATCACTGATTTGTGTTACACTTCCAAGATATGCACCCGCCGATCATTTTTAAAAATAAAAGGATCACGGCACGAAATCAAGTTCAATTAATTTCAATTAATTATGATTGAAAACTTTAATTTCTTTATTGTAGTATAAATATAATTTGTTTTTCTTATATATACTGTATATTAAGTATATTAAAATATAATTACTTACTTTTGTAAATACGAGTTTTTACAATTTTGTTTTAAATGATGATTGTTGTGTTAATTAATTAATTCATTAAAGAAGTAATTAATTAAGAGAATAATGAAATTTTTTTTTAAATTAAATATTTTTTTACAATAATTATTTTTATAATTATTGTTAACATAAAAATTTGATTTATATTTATGATGATGAGATGAAATGAATGTTTTAAAATTAAAATGAATGAAAGAAAATCTTATTTTTCTATATCTAATTAATATTAAAATGCTGTACTGTATGTTGTTATTATATAATACAAAAATTAAATTATTATTAAATGAAATTATTAAATTACTATTAAATTAAATTATTAATTAAATTACTATAATTAAATTACTATATTAAAGTTTAAAAGATGCTGGTTATGTAATTCTAAAATAGTTTGTGTAATATTATAATCTATGTCGTTTACCGAGTTGGCATTTACATTTTGGACAAGTATGTATTACATCTATAATAATAATAGTTAATAGTCAAGAAATTTAAATTAGTACAATTCAATTCAATTCAATTCAATTCAATTCAATTCAATTCAATTCGGTCGGATGAATTCACACGCGAAATAAAAAAAAGATTAAATAAATAAATACCTTTGCAAGAATCGAGGAAGAACGGAACCCAGAATAAGACAATTGTCAATACAAATAAGCACAATGATAATAGGTAAACAAAACTTCCGTTTTTATAATCAATCACAGTTCTCACAACTTTTTTACAATTTTTACATTGTGTTTTGACGGGGAAAAACGGTAATTTTAATAATAAACATGGATTGTTTCTTCTCTTCCTACTACTGCTACTGCTACTACTACTACTACTATTTCTTCTCTTATTAATTGTAGTGGCTGTTGTTGAAGGAAAAGAATTATCATGGTTGTCATTATTATTACTTGATATTATTTTTTCATCTTCGTGTTTTATATTATTGAATTTATCATCATAATCTCTTCCTCTTAGATAATCGTCATCGCCATAATCTTCTAATAAAGATGATGAGGATGATGAGAATGACGAGGATGTGGATAACAAGAAAGATGATGAAATTGGTGATGAAGATTTGGAATTTAATTCAAGATAATCGCTGTTATTATTGTTATTATTATTATTATTAACATTATTATTATTTATTATTGACATCTTTATATTCTTTATATTATTATTTTGATGTTTATTAATATGAAAGTTTTAATTAATTAATCACTTCTAGTTGGGTATAAATTGCTTTTAAAATTTAATCGAAAATTTTATTTGTAAAAAAAAAATAAAGAAAAAATCTTTTCAGGTCAATTTATACGAAAAATAAAAATATGCAACTATAATAATAATAATTATATTATTATGTTACTATAATAGTATTTATTATATATAGCCAAGCAATGTAAAACAATTGTGTAAATCTAAAATTGTATATATAGAATAAATATAACAATAAAATGATTATTATATTATTTATTTAAAAAAAAATTTTTTTTCAGTTGAATAATCAGTTTAGCTCTTTATTATTTATTTATTGCTTACCTGCTTTACGTTTAGCTCTTTCTCTTTCTCTTTCTTCTTCTTCTTTCTTCTATCTCTTTCTTCGTCTTCCTTTTTACTTTATTCTTTCTTATCTAATTTTGGCTTTGTTTCGAAGTTCGGTGGTACAAAGTTGCTCAACAATGTGTGTGATATGTACGGCTTTCACGTGCCTTTTAATCATCATGATTTAGCCAAAATATAGATTGGGCAAGTACTAAGTTGTTAAATGCATTTTTTTGATGGGTTATCGTCTAATATCTTTTCATTGTATATACACTTGTCCGGATCTTTTAACTTGTCATCAGCTATTCTCTCAGTCTACATCCTGCTTTCTTGTAGATAAGATTTTCTTTTCTAAAAGGACGCAATCCTAAGATGTTTTCTTACAGCGTTACTCATTTTCCCTCAAAGGAAAGTGAGATATAAAACTCCCAGTATTTAGTTCCTTTAACTTTCTTAATACGTTCTTGCAGAAGTTTCTTCCATTTTTAATTCAAGTTTCTTTGTCAACTTGCTCAATTTCATTGGAAATAGGTTTTTAGGCCTAATTATCATGTCAAAACATCTTTGGACTAACTAATTAAGCAAAAACTTTGCCTTTTCAGCTACTAAGTCGTTTGATGCTTACCGTTCGGAGTAGGTTTTATGTACAATTAATAAAAATTTTTATGGATTTATTTATTTAAGGGACGCAATTACAAAGATGTTTTTTCCGTTTTCTAAATGATACATGCATAAATTTATAAAAATATAAAAATGAACATATGATCCCGCATAAAGCCAAGAATTGTTGCACTATCAAAAGTATTTTTAAAAAAGAACAAGGCGAGAATTTAAAAATGACTAGTGCTCATGTGCTTGAAGTTTACCAAGAAGAAATAAAAAACAATAAACACCGCAAATTTAGTGTTACAGCTGTTATTATTAGAAAATAAAAAAATTCACCTCTAATTATGTAATCATGAAGATCTTCCTTGTATTATTTTCCTTTCAAAGATTTCTCCTAGTGTTTGTTTATTGTTTTTCTTTTTACTCAGTAAACTTCATAAGTAATTTCTTTTTTTTTTTCAAGTACCCGAACATCAGCTATACATAATTCTCACATGCTATAATTCTCGGGGTACTGTGGTGGTGATGAATCATATGCAAATTAATTTTGTATGATACTTTTCGACAATTTACATCACAATCACATTACACGATAGTGCACATTTGTGGCGTTGAGCACCAAAATTATAATAATAATTGTTATTTGATTTAATTATTTCATACAGGTGCATGCATGCCAATAAATATATTCTTCTCCCTAATAGGGGGAAAATATGGGATGATCACCAAAACAAAAATCGTCATCATGCATTTTAGAAGAAGTTTTGTTGAGTGGACAAAAATCATGATGGTCGTGGTGTGATCAATTGTTTTATAAATATTAACTAATAAAACAACAACATCAAAAAAATTTTTTACCCCACACTCGCATAATTGGAATACAGAATAATACTAATTAATTTTATTAATTACTTACATTATTTGGCATTAAAGATTATTTTAAACACAATGCATTTCGATTGCAAAATCCACCACGTTTATTATTTATATTTGACATGCAATTATGTGTTATGTAAGTGATGAGTAGTAGACATGTGAATAACTGATTAAATTAATTATTAGAGGAATGAATGTATTAATGGACTTCTAAAAATATATATTAATATTTGAAAATAAATTTAGAATTTAACTTGTATTTCAAGGAATTTATTAATCCAAAAATATTATAGATAAATACCATGTTATGTATATATTAATAGTGTAAAATTGACTTTTCGCCACCAATTGAAAAAATTTTTTTTTATCATCTTTTAATTTAATTTCTATTTATTATTACCAATAAAGAAGTCTTTAAAGATGTTATAAATTGGAAGCAAATAGTTATTATTAAATACATCAAATTTAACGGTCCATTTATGACGCTGCAGCAAGCAGCAGGGTTGGAAATAATATTGCATTCTAATTCTAATTCACAATTCAGGAGAAATTTCCGTTTTTTTTTTTCAGACCCTATTTCCAGCCCTGATGACAATGCATTCAGTATGCGGAGTGTGCATGCTAACTAAATTTGATAATTATTTTCCCAAATCCGCCAAATTTGGTTAGCAGAGCACATTCCGCACATTAATAACTCACTCAGGATGCAACAATTAATAAATGGTTATTAACTATTAATAACTTGAAGTTATTAAGTGTAGGGTTAAAAATTCCCATCACTAGATGCAACTATTTGAATGCTTACTGAATAACTATTCTTGGTTTTATACCATTTAGTAAATCAACCACTTCTTTTCGAAACTATTCATCTTTGTCGTTTTTCCACAACATCTTACTGTTTCATTCGCTCATTAAACTAGTTATTTCACGTCACCTTTTGTTGGGCTTATCAAAGTTTAATCACATAACAAGGCCAAGAATTAAAGATGGACAATATTTGCCCTTTGAATATTAAACGTAAATTTCAATGGTATGTCGTAATTGGTAGTTTATTTAATGTAACAATTTATTTAAAAACTGCGGCAACAAAATTCAATATTTAATAAATTAAAAAAAAAATTTTTTTAAACAATTATTTTTTTTTTGCATCAAAAAATTAAAATTAATGAATATGGAAATGGCTTCAAATGAAGATAAATGCCATAATAATATTTTTATTAACAAAAATGATAATTATGATGAATATTCAGATAATAGAAAAGAAAGATATGGCACATGTCCAACTTGTAATAAATATAATACTAATTATTCATGGTGTCAATCATGTAATCCACAACTATTAACTCAAGGATGGACCAGTGGTAATGAAACCATTGATGAGTTGATTAAAAGCACACAACTTAAAGCAAGCTCTTATAATAATAGGTATCACCTTCAATGGATTCCTTATGAAGATTTGGAAGATATTGAAAAGATAGGCGAGGGTGGTTTTGCAACCATATACAAAGCTACTTGGAAAGATGGTTGGAGATATGCAAATGATGAAGAAGATAGATTTTGTGATGATAGAGTTGTTGCATTAAAAAAATTACATAATTCTCAAATTATTTCTAATGAGTTCCTTAACGAAGTAAATACTCTTGTTACACTTATTTTCTGCATTTTTTATTAAAAAAAAAAAAAGATAATCTATTATTGCTAAATTAAATTAAATTTTTTTTTAGTTTAAAAATTATTTGAAATTTTATGAAGTTGATAGGATTGTTCATATTTTTGGGTTAACACAAGATACAACCACAAAAGAATATATGTTTGTAATGAGATATGCAAAAGAAGGAAGTCTTTATAATTATTTAACAAATGAATTTAAAAATATAAATTGGAAATGTAAAACTTCCATTCTTTTAGATATTGTCAATGGTTTACGGATGATGCATAGAGAAAATGTTATTCATTATGACCTTCATAGTGGCAACATTCTAATTGATTATTTAAATTCATTTATTTCAGACTTGGGATTGTCAACACAAACTGATCAAATAAAAGCATCAAATAAAATCAATATATTTGGAGTATTGCCATATGTAGCACCAGAAATATTAAATGGTAAACCCTATACAACATCATCAGATATATATAGTTTTGGAATATTGATGACAACACTTTCAACAGGCCAACAGCCTTTCAGTAATGTTTCACATGATAGAGATCTTGCAATTAAAATATGTGAAGGATTAAGGCCTGGATTTTCAATTAATACACCAAAATTTTATATTAAACTAGCATATAAATGTATGGATGCTGATCCAGAAAAACGACCAACTGCCAAAGAAATTTATAATATTGCTAGATTTTGGGATGATGCAATAAATTATAGATCTTGCCATAATCATACTTTTGAGGAAGCAGAATCAATTATAAAAGAATTTGATGAAATGGACAAGATTAAATTTGATCCTTCAACAATCACAGCAACTGTTCATCCAAATGCTGTTTATACTAGCAGGTTATTGAGACTCACAAATCTTCCACAACCTGTTAATTCTAGAAAAGTTACGATTATTGGTAATTATAATGGTAATTATTATCAATTATTTAATTTTGATGTTAATATCAATTTCAATATAATTAATTAATTAATCCTATTTTATAGATTCAAATCAAATAGATTTTGATACAATTTGATTTTTTATTTATTTATTCTTTTATATATATATTCTTTTATATATATCCATACACACATATTCACAATTTTTTTCTTTTGTTGAAAGACAAATTGGGAACTTTTGAATACATGTATTAATACTGCAATTACTATTGCAATTAATTTATCAAATAGACCTAGAATTAATTTACACAAAATAATTGAACAAACTTTAATTCAGTTAAAATCTGCTTTGAAGTCTATTTGTTTGTTCTTTTTTCTTTTTTCTCAATGTTCATTTATTTTATTACCATCATTAGTTTTTTTGTATCTTCTTTTACATCCAATGGATTATCATTATTCGTCCTGGCGGGTAGAATGGTACTTATGTGGTTGTTGTTATCGATCTGATTTTTGCATTTGGGGCATACTGCAACAAAACCAGACAAAATGAACATCTTATTACCAAGAATTTCAGGGGACCCCGAAATATATATGTAGAGGTACACTATTGCTTATGTTACCGGAATTAGACTTTAACGCAGATATTTTGCCGAATCTCTTAATTCGGGACCATTTAATTTTATTTCTATTTTCAATTATTATTTTACATAATTTATTTAATTTATTTTTATTCTTTATATTCTATTTTTATTTTCCATTTATCTTTAAATGATAATTTAATGTTAAAGTTGATGTGGTATCTGAATTAGCATATTTTGCACCACATTTAATTTCTGTTCGAGGATTGACAACGACTTTGCAATAAATATTGTTTACTTTGTCTTCAAAGTAATCCCAAACTTTTTGATTTTTTCCTTTTTTGTAAATTATCATTTATATTTGTGCTACATTCCGTACAGTCGAACCCTCGTTTCTAGGGATGGGCGGTTCGGTTTCAAAACCACCCCCGGTGTAACCTGTTTATTACACACATTTCTGTAATTCTGATTACACACATTTAAAAAAACAATTTCTGGAAAATTCCAGATAGTGAAGAAATAAAAGGACTAAAATCGAGAAAAAGCAGAGAGGAATGAACTTTACAAATAACATCAAAATGGTGACCCTCTGGAGTTAATGAATATTTAGAAGAATTTAAGAGTATGGCAAGATGACAAAGTAGAATTACCCACTGTTGAAGGGGGTCCAAAAGCACAGTTGGGAAGATTCTAGCAAAAAACATTGATATGAATTCAAGACATTTTGAAGATAAGGTAAAAGAAATTGTAGATAAAGTTGAAGAAGCAAGTAAATTTGTCAACTTTTGTGCATTTATATATGTTGTTTACATTTTTTTATCTACTTTGATGATTTTCAGATGTGCACGGGATTATTTGTATGAGGTCTGAAAAAGCAAAACTTCTGTTTCTACTACCACCCCCACTCTAAAGACTAGTGCCGTAAATTAAAAATGGTTGCAATTACCTTTGCAACCACTTTTGCAACCATACTTTTTCCTTTTTTGGATTATGGCACTAGTCTTTACACCACTCAAATGGCACAAGTTGCTGCAGCATACTTTCATATGTAAAGTTACACACATTCTTTTTTCCTCTAATCTTTTTGAATTACTTGTATGATAACTTTACTGATATTGTTTGGTTTGTTCCTAGAATTGATAAATTACATTTACATTTGTGAATGAAAATGGAAAACATAAACATTTATCTGAAATTGAGTATGCATTATACATGACTGCAACAATACTCAACGATGTATTTAGTGATGTTTTGGACATTTTGGAGCTTCAGTGGTAAGACCATCATTATCATATTTATACAAATAATGATACCCTATTTATGTAAATATTTACTGTTTAGGTGGGAACGGTTTCTAATTCAACAACTGCAACAACTGATAGATAGAATATTCATAAATCAAGTGATAAAGAGGGTTTGTATTCATGAATATCATAAGGGTATCACACAGGGTTACACACTATTAAAATCAAGTGATAAACTCATGTTTTTAAGAGATTTTTTGCTGTTTTAATAGTGTGTAATCCCCTTAATGATATTCATAAAGATGTATGGCCTCCTTGATGTGGATTACTCAATTCATGGTCAAAACAAAACAACTAATCAATCAATTGAACATCACAAATACCTCCAAGACTTCCTACAAATCCTAACTCTAATATTTCTCACCTTGTTCTTTCTTCAGAATACTTCTAATGGTGCTATAATTCTTGGGTTCCATAGTAGATCTGATGTAAATTAA